TTTTGTTTCCTAGGAGATGTTTTGGATTTCCACTTGCATGACTGTCGTTAGGCACCGGGTCGTACAAATAGCACCAAGTTTCACCTCCAGCATTTAAGTTATTCAAAAAATTATTTGGATCAGAACTTATATTAGATTTTATATTTATCAGAAATGCCGGTCAAATAGCCGAGGTCGTTAGGACAATAGTGCCGTAGTGGTCCCGGACCAGAACACTGCGGGTTGGAGTCCGGCCTCGGGCATATGTGTATTTGTGCATGTCTATATGTGTCTGCCTTACTTTCATCCCTCACCATCATCATTGTTCGTACACCCAGAACAATCTTGGGGGACAAAAATAGGGATTCAGCTAAAATTCTTATCCCTTCCCCCCCAAAAAACCACAAAAAGCACCCCCAAATCTGCTGAAGCAGGATGCACGAGTGGTCTGAGTTGGCCTTTACGCGAAAAACAATCCGTTCGCGAGGAAGGAAAATTCTTGTTTCTTTGTTTCCAGGAGATAACACTTTTGGAACCAACTTTTGCGGTATTTATTGCTTGATCAACTGTTTGTGAAAAGTTGTTTAAACACTTCCAACTAAAATTAGGATCTCTGCCTCAACACTATTTCTTCGAGAGCTCCCCAAAGCAATGCAACTTGCTTCTTTCGTCAAAGTTGTTGGTCGGCCGCTCCGCGGGTAGTCATTCACGCTATCGCAACCGAGACACACTATCATTGAAACGTTTATGATAGAGATATTCCTGATATTTAATTGTGCATCTCACCATACGCTTCTTCGAGGATTCTTAATGTCTCTAATAAAGATTTGTGTAATAAAACAAAACTTTAAGTAGGGGCATTGCTCTGCAGCTGACATTATCAACTACGACAATCAAACACGCTCACGCACGACAAGCCAAAACTGGTTGTTATGCAAACACAACAATCGCTGTGTATATGGAAATTCTACTGAAGTAACATCATCAACGTTTGCAATATCTTATAAAGAGAAATTCGCTATAGAATACAAAATAAGAGAATAATTAAATATTCCTGGAAATTTTTGACGCTACTATACTGTAACGTATTAGCCAGCGTGCCTCATGGCATCTATTTGGGGACGCTTAGTAGAGGATTAGCCTCGCCACAGGGAAAGAAGGGTTTTTCCGTAAAGGCACTCGAACGCGGAAACGGAGACACAAGGCTTTGGCGTCTTCCGGCTTATAGAAGCTTTTCACTGTTTAACAAGCGAGGGATTGCGTGACGTAGTAGTCACGTGGGCCTGCGCTATCATACAGAGTGTACAGAGCCAGTGGGTGGGTTCTGGAGACGTGGGAAACTCGGTGCGGTGTGCACAACTTGGCGCCACGACGGTGCATATGCGAGACAGGCTCGCGAGGCTCGAGTCACTAGTTTTGACGAAGGGCGACTTTCAGGTCCTTGGGTGACTGCGGACAGCGGGGAGCGATGATGTGTGCGTGCTCCGAGGTGCAGAGTAGTTTGAGTGCCACGATTCACGCGATTCTCAATCGCTAAGATCGCTCCTGCAATCGAGGCAAACAGCCGTTGGTGCGCCAGAACGGACTTTGGTGTTCAGGCGTGACATCCTGGGGCGTCACGGAGCTAAGGCTTTGTCCGATTAAAAAGTCGGAGTGGCGAATGCGCAATCAAATACCCTTCAATCGGGTTTGGATCGCTCCGCGATCAGGGTAGTGTCATCAGGCTAGGGTGTAAGTAGATTATTACAGTGTATATATTTGTTTTGTTTTCTTTGTTAATAAATGTATTTGTTAATGCAAGCTCTGTGTCTGTGGTCAGTGTGGTATCATCATGACGTCAGCAATACCTAGTTATTTTAATTAAAAGGATTGGTAAGCTTCCTCGACAAGTATGATGACTCGAATTCTGTCATAAAATACATATCTGAGAAGGTTTTGAATTTGTAATTTCGCACATGGCTGATATACATCCAGTTTTAAGTGTTGTTTGAAATTAGTTAAAAATTAGTCGGCAGTGATGGGCAGATACCATTCGGTTTTTACCTCAAAATCTGGGTCTATATGGATAGATAGAGTTTCACGCAAACTCTCTAGGATAAGACCTTTTGAACTAAACTTGGAAAGATTGTGAGGAGAGAGATCTAGTTGTGAGATTTCACATACTGGGGATTCATTACATATACAACTTATTTCATTTCATATACTAAATTCAATAAAAGGTTTGGATGCAGAACCCAACTTCAGAATACCAATGTTAAGATTTCGCCGGAAACTAATTTAATTAAAATAGTTCACATTCCGGACGTCACAAATTCAAGTACCGTCGTAAGTTCGTATTCTATTCTCCCATCGAAAATAGATGATGTGAAAGTGAATAAGTCTAGCTGGTTCAGAATCGACTTCAATTTCTCTGTTGGAGATCCCTAAAAAGTAGCCGTTGGTGTAGAAATGAGATCCCGAAGTTTCAGCTCGCTTGGATAACGTACGACTGCCTTAGTGTCTCTAAAGTTTTAAAAATTCAAATTTTTCAAAAATATGAGAATTTTGGCTACAAAATAGAAAGGTTTTTATTCTAGAACGTGTCTTTTTTTTTAATATGTAGAGAAGTTTCTGTTTCTGACAACCTATAAGCTGGGTATATATCATGAGATTTTTTGTAACGAACGTGTAATTCTGTTTATTTTTAAAATAATTTTCTATCTTTTTGAGTTTTTTTAGCATCAATTGTTCGAGTAGATGGATTTTAATTATGTATTTGAATGAGGTGAGTGAAAATAATTGGATAATGGAGGGGATTAAGAAACATTTGACAACTAAATATTATTTATTCTATTATACCATAATCATCATTAAAACATAGAAATTAATTATTACAAACAATAATTTCAGAAATATGAAATAATAGAAACATGTGTAAAAATATCACATTCAATATTTACTGATATTAGTATATATATATACATATAAAAAGCGATATATATATATATATATATATTATATATATATATATATATATATATAAATATACTATGTAATATATATGTATATATATACATATATATATATAAAAAATATATTATATAATAATATATTTAATATAATACATACTTTGTATTATGAAAGTTGGTTTCAAAAGTTAACATGACTTTCTTTTCTGATGGCTTACGGACAGCACCCTGTACGAAATCTGTCAGTGCTTTAGTCGCAGGGAACGCAATACTTCAGAACTTCAAAATCATGTAGTAAAAGATGCAATAGGAAAATTGGAAATTCACATTGACCAATTGACGTCCTTCGCTCTCTCTTTCTCCCTCACTTCACCTCCTGCTTTCCATGGTGCATTCTCCTAAGTGAAAATCTTTCCCATTACAACTTCCGTTCGAACGAACAGAGGGTCGAACAGAAAGTCGCAGCTCGGAATTTACGCACTTACGGAGGCAACTCGGCCGAATAGAAGTTAGCAGGTATAGAATTTCCGTAAGCGAAACGTCCACGCGGTTCCGCAGCAGCGGCACTGCGAACCGGCTTGGTGCCGGGAAGGCGGGGGCGCGCCGTGGCAGGGCGCGGGCGTGGCGGGGCGAGCGAGGAGGGGCTGAAGTGGGGGGTGGTTATATGGAGGCGCGCGCTCCGCCGGCTGCAGAGTGATCCACGCAGCGGAGCGCTTCCCGTCCAGCGAGTGCCAGTGGCCGCCGAAGCAGTCGCCGACGCCAAAAGGCCGGTGAGTAACAAGTGACGGTGCATCACACACCCCCAGTGCAGCGGCAAATGGTCTTCGTGGCTCTTATTAACGGATTGTGCTATTTTGGGGTGCCTGTGCTTTCCAGCGCATTTCTTCTAAATTGAGGACGAATTTTAGACAGTGATATATTACGAAAGTGGACGAAGACGGTGTTGATCTCGTTGATGGTGGCATTGGTATAAGGAGATTTTTGCATGTTTGCAAATATTTGCGCTCCTCCTGCTATAAGTGCTTTAGGTGGTAAGCAGGGAAGTTCACAATTGGAAATAAGAGTGTATGCCAATGTGAACCCTCTGTCACAGACAATATTAGACAGATGACAAAAATGCGATTCATGATTTCCTCTAGAAAATCTGTATGTAAGATGTCCGGTTTTGACAAGTTTGAGAAGGCTCAATCCCCGAATTTTTAATGAAAGAGGGAAGAAAGGTTAATTTTTGGAGTTGATCTTGTAATATTCGTACAAATGTTAGTCAAAATAGATAGATAGATAGATAGATAGATAGATAGATAGATAGATAGATAGGTTGAAGCATCCACACGCGTCGGCTTGCGTGGGAATTCCCCCTCCAGGTATTTCACCTAACCGAGTAGCACCTCACATGGAGCAAGCTTTAAGCCCCAGACGGGTTGCTCGACATGTGTTGTAGTGTGTGTTTGTGTAAGTAAAGGGAGAAAGTAGGACAAGGCAGAGGAAGGAATGATCGCGAACGGTCCGTGGTCCGTTTTTTAGGGTACTGCTCCCTCATTCGTCTACTGTAGATGGGACGAGCTACTGAAAACTACCGATCAGTTTCATAAATTTCAGAAACTACCATTCAGTTTCATAGAATAACAGGAATGCCTCAGTAGTGACAGGTATTGAGAGTTGGTTAGTCAGATATGATTGCAGTTATAACTGTTAATAGTTTAGAAAGACCATCCCTAAAAGAAACTGATTCCAACTGAACACGCTCGGGCGATCATATCCTGCAGAGAGAGCGACGAGTGATTTATCGCGCGACAAAAAATGTCTCCTTTCACTCGTGAACCATTTGGCGAGTCTGTGTACGCAGTATGACTTCCTGGTGTCTTTTGCTCTCGAAATAGCTGGAAAGTGCACTGTGCAAGCGTTTCTTTTTTTTTTGTTTTAAGTGCACTTCGAGCGCGGAACAGTCGAGAGGCGGCGGAAGGGCCTCGAGAAAGGCAGTTTCCCCATCGCCTCTGCAGAGAATCGCACTCTCCCCGCTGCGGCAACACCCCCCCCCCTTCACGAGCTCACTCTGCCTGTGCCGTTGCCGCTATGACGATTCCCCTTCTTGTGACTGCATTGGACTTTCCTCGAGGGGCCTATGGAGCAACGTTGCAATAAGAAGTACGAAAATGTGCCGGATCGCTGAATGAGTTTTGCGCGTTCTCGAGAACTTTCTTTGGCGCGAGTGAAAGGAAAACGAACTCAGGTACATTTCGAATTTGTGTATATTTTTCATTTATCAATGCGACGAAAATGCAAGACTTGACTAGATTAAGTGAAACAATATCGCTTTGTTTGAACTTTATTAGGGAAAAGACATCTGGCTTCAAATTCAAATACAATATTAGACAAATATTTTTAAGAAGAAAAGGGAATTATAAATAAATTTCTTTGACTAATGTATTCGTATTATTTAATAAAACAGGCGTTAGAGCGTATATCGTGGGATCAGAAATAAAACATCGTAAACCTGACAGTCGTCGTGGTTCAATTCGCGAAGGTGGTGGATTTTCAACACAGCTAAATAGCTATGTTGGACGACGCCATTGCATGTACGGGAATTCTTAAGATTAATAGCTGCTCCGTTCGCTCTGTAATTTTCTCCCATCAATTTTAGGTGAAAGCCGTATATACTGCAGAAGCGCAATACCTTCAAAAACTGACCACGGATGGCGAGCGACCCTTCATTCATCATTCGGGAGGGTTTTCCGTGGAAAGCTTCCATACCCATGTAGCCAAGGCGTATTTGTCTAGTCAGCAATATTATGGAAGCAATTACGGAGTGTGTTATCTAGTGTCAGAGTTGCTAACATGGTAGCATTCTATTTCTTGATGACGTTTGTGAAATCCTAGACAATACTCAATTAGTGACAGGAGTCATGACAGGATTTTACGGGGTACATACTTTTTAACTATGATAATTATATCATACTCATGAGATACCTCACATTATGGTTATACTTTACTTCTGGACGTGCAATTTTCCAACATCACCTTTACTTTCTCAACGTGACCCTCAATGTGACAAAGACTCCCTCTGACCGTTAGAGACGAGTCCAAAGATCACTGGAATACAGCTTTTTTCACTTCTCGCTACAGTCTGGTGCGGCAAAACGAAGGATAATATCTGACAGAACCACGTTATATATCTCTTAGTATAAGAGAAATAATATGTTTATCTCGACAAATACGCAAAGATTATGTTAAAGACTTGGATTAAAATAGTTCTTAAATGTCAATTCCTTACTATTGTTGTTTTCGTGAATGTGATCTGTTGCAAATAAACGCGGATAACTTGAAATATGTCAACAGAGATACCGTGTTCAAGGAAATGCCGTCAAATACAGTGTTGAAGGTCATGAATTCGCCCTCGGTACATAAGAATAGATTTATTTAATGCAGGACTATCCCAAGGCCCATATACTGAAGATTGCACGGGAGATGGATATCGCCTGTGAGGAAAACCTGATGACCATGGGCTATGCAAAGTGTTCAAGTTTCGCAAAACAATTCAAACTATCGTACGATGTATATTTATATCTACACAGGAAAGTACACAGATTTCAGAAAATGCCTGAAACCTGGAAAAGTGGTTTAATCACACATCTGATTCTATAATCACGTTTAAAGTATGCAAAATTTATACATAATTAACATATATCTGATTAATATTATATATAAATAACATATAAATATAACATTCATAATAACATATGAAATTACTAACAGTAAAACACAAAGAATACAGATTTTTACGCGCGTAGATACTTAGTTTTAAATTAATGTTGATTATATGTACAATTTAAAATGTGTACAGGTTGCTTTAGGAAAAGTACACAAATACAGAGAACAGAATAAAGAGATGAAGCTTTTGTCAATGAACCCTGGGTCCATAAGCCAAAATCTTAGGGCTAGGCTGTGTTAAAAAAACGTGGCTGTTTTCTGCGGGGTCGTCGTACCAACACACGTTGTAGGGGTGGCCACTATTTCAGGCTGAGAAGAGTAAGGCATATATATGCCTTACATGTCGCGAAAACTACATCACACTTTAGGAAAAACTCACAAATGCACTTGGAAACGAATCATGATTTCAGCATTAAGTTATAATAATATGAGTGCAATAATGAACTGTAACGCCTGTGAAATCAAAATTCATATTGTAGTACCATTGTGCCCTAGTAAAATGTGACGCTCTCACGCGATACTCACCATATCGAACACTCGAATCCTTTTAGTCTTCACCAGCAGCTATTGTGTACTCGACATCGCAATTAGCCATATTTTGATCATAGAAATATACTGTAGACTACAGAAAATCGATACAAATAAAAATAGACAATTCCAAGAGATCGCCGTCGACCTTCATTGACACGAACCGGGAATGGTGCATGAGAGCCGAGTAGCTGCCTGATCTCTGGAAACCAAAGCTATATTTGTTTATAAATAGATATACACACGTCCTCACAAATATGTCATATTATAAAATATAGGAAACGCACGTCATGTGTACAATTAGAAAACGTGTTTTATTGAAGGTTTCTGTTATTAACACAATTTGTATAAAAGTGATGACTAATAAATATTGATTCATACTTAATTTATTAAAAACCATACACATTTTTGTATTACTTCGTTCTGGTACAAGAACGGTATAAGTTACATTCAATGAGTTATGAGAAATCTGTTTATTGAAGTCAATATTCCTGGGAAGTCGTGGTGCTTTGTTCCATCATTAAAACCACTGCATTTCAAATGTTTATTAAAACAACGGAAATACATTTCCACTGAAATATAGCTTAAAATAAACACGTTTTCTCAGGATTTATAAAATGTCACTATGTTCTTGATTTCACCCATTCAGATATTGAACTTATTTCCTAAAGGTACATAATTTATCTCAACAAATTTTACTGTACCTTAAAAACTGTGTGTACATGATAGAAGTGATGTTACTCATTCCTTCCTCTCTTATTCTTCTAGATCTTATATTTAATTCGCTTATAAATAAGTTTCCCCAAAGTATTCCAATATTTGTAACGTAGGTCGGATTTGGTACTTTTTGGCACAAATTTTAATTTTCCGAATCATTTTCAAACGAATGTAATTCAAAGCAATTTACGTATAAAACTGAGTAAATTACACCAGTTTTAATTCAAGAGAACATTTTCTGCCGATCGTGGGAAAGTATTATTTATTATAAAACGTGACGTACATTTTATTAATGTTTCTTTCTACATTATTGTTGTTCGCCACAACAGTGACCTTATAAAATAGTAATTGTCATATTGTAACCTGTGACTGAAAATAATGTCAAATCTTTTGTTTTTGCCTCTGTACGTGATTCTTACATCCATTATCTTTGAGGGATAAAACTAGATCAAAACTTAAGTCTCTTTTATCATTTTATTTTGACAAATCGGTATCAGATTATAAACTGAATGAGCCCCATCATACCTGACTTTACTTCTCTTGATAATCTCTCAACCTTCTTGTTTTAAATTGTTTAGTTGGCTTTGAACATTGAGCCAACTCTTGTCAATCTGTGCCAAAAATATGCAGTCTCCCCACCTTGGAAAAATCCTTATCATATTGTTTTAGGAATAACTTTTTTTTAGTTTTTTACTCTTTTTTCAACAATGCCAAAGGACCTGAAGTAGGATACTATTGAATTATTAAAATATTCCTCTTTTTGTGTGTGATTTGGTCGTCTTCTTATCAATTCAATAAATTCGTCGAATTTTATATCAATTTATAATATAATAATATTTCTTTCGGCAAACAGCATCTTTAATAGTTTAATATCTAAGGTTCATTTCTTAAATTTAATCTTCTGTAATTTGTAAGGACATGAGAAATCTAAAACATAATTGCAAGATATCACATTTTGGAAACAAGTTCCACATTTTTGAAAATTATCTTTGAAATAAAGTTGTGTAGGGTTCTCGAAATGTTCGTTCTAATAACAAAATTGCTGCTATCTTTTAGGAATGAAGATGAGATGTGTTTAATTGTTTTGAGCAAACGTCATTGTACGAGTATATTAAAAACTGAAATTGAATAGTTTTGCCTCACTGCTGAAGACTCATTTGAGAACAGTTTTGAATGTAATCAGAAATTCTCCTAGCCATAGTTTTGTTCATGTGGAACAAGCACAGATTTAATGATCGGCAAAAAGGTTATTTTTGAGTATTGCTATGAGTGGTATTTTATCACATGCCTGGTTATTTTCTGTTCATATCTTGTGGATAACAGTTTCATGAAAATTTCATCGTCGATAGTTGTTACGTTCAAAATGATTTTCATTAGTATGGAATTCACGCACGATCCCTCATCAGTAGTTTTTGGACTTTCGTTGATTTAGTCATTTTAGGTCATCCATTGAATTACAAGATGTTCTTTATCTTTTTACAAATCTTCTCCTTCTGCACTTAAAGGGTTAGGTTCAAGAACCTGTTCCGATGTCCACTTCCTTCTGGGCCTTCCTACATCTCTTCTCCCTCTGCATCTGTAGTCCACTGGGAGTGTTGGTGGTCTGTTGTCGGGCATTTGTATGAGATTTTCATACCATCTTTTCTGATTTCTTCCCAGTTTCTCCAGCAGTGGTTCGACCCCCAGTTTATTTCTTATCTCTGTACTTCTCTTTTTATCTAGGATATTATAACCTAGAGTGCTTATTATAAATTTCATTTCAGCATCATGGATTTTAAAGTTATCTTTTTTTTATGTTAGTCTTACTTCATCTCTATACAATAACACTGGCACAGCTACTGTGTTGAAGAATTTTATCCTTGTTTCTATCCTAGTTTTATTTTTAGATGTCTGTGTATTGTGCCGCATATATTTCTAAATTTACTTAATTTTTTATCTAAATCTATATCTCTTTCAAATGAGATGTGACAACCTAGATATTTAAAGTAATTTACCTGTTCTATACTCTTTCCTTCTATCACAATCTATGTTCTTACTTGGTATTTCCCTTTATATGCTATATTTTTAGTTTTTTCTTTGGATTTTTTAAAACCATCTTTTTACAAATATTCTTTAAATTTATAATGTACCTTTCTCACCTGAAGAGAATGCGAATGCGGCAAGGCTTCGCAGCCACCTGTCTAGCTGGCTCTTCGCCTCAATTACCCGCTTGGGGCCTCCACCCTCGCTTGTGCTCGCTCGCCTGACGGTCGACGGTAACCTTACGATCTTAATATTTCTTCATAACACTTGTTCTAGTAGTCAAACGTACTTCACAATTTAATAGTGTGAGTTTTCAATTCCCCAATAGCTGCTGGTAACATTTCGTAAACTCAGAATGTCCGACAGGGCGAGTGTCGCGTGTTATTAAAAATAGCTTGTTGGAGTAGCGGCGAGGCAGCAGTGGCCGGGCGTCGGCCGCGCCGTTAGAGAGCACTTTCTCCGCCCCGGCGTCGCCTGCCCGGCGCGGCCCCGCCGCTCGCCGGCAATCGGCGCCTAAGCGGAAGTCCAGGCTCGCTGTTTATTACAGTGCCGGGCTAGGATAAGGCGGAAGCGGAGCCACTTTCCTTTTCGTAGCAACCGGCTCAAATCCCGTTCTGCGCCGCAGTGTTTAAACTTTCCAGCGGAACCATCTGCAACGACAGGATGTGTTTTATTTTTCTGTGCTCGAACTTGTGCGGTGTTGGCTGAACGTTGATTACCATACCATTCATATGGTCGTCTGCGTTATTATCCTATAAAGTGAATTTTTGAAGGATAGACATGTGGGGGGGCTGAGTGGGGCCGGATATTTCCTGTTTATGTCACGAAAGATTGTGTCCACCGACTTCCGTTTGGTAGTTGTCAGCTTAGTAGTGAAGCCGGGAGATAGTTTGTTACTGTTTTTTTGTGGGGGGAGGAGATATGCATCTAGTTGTACGTGAAAGATGATTTTTACAGAGTAGATAATTTTTGTTGGCAAGATATTATGGAATGCTTACTTTGTCACTGAATCAGTGGTAAACTGGTCGAGGTGAAGTTCACCACTGATATTCCAGGCATTACAATCAACGATCTCCACCCACCAGTTCTGCGAACAGAATTGACTCTGATCATTACAGTTTTTAATAAAAAAGGCGATGTGATCAAATGCAATATGTAAGACAGTTCTTTCCTCTTGGAAAATATCAGTAATGAGAATGAACAATTTTAGCGAAAATCATTACTAACATTTTTTCTCAGTATAAATATAGTTCAATTCTCAGGAAAGTATCTCAACTTACAAATTGGAGTCCGAAGAAAACTTTTTTTAAAAAATTGGCGAAACGTAAATTAAAACAGAAAATGTACACGACTATGAAATAAATGTGAGATGTATTATTGTGTGTATTTGCAGTCTTTAAACAAAGTTAGTATTTGATATAATAATCAAATGTCAATAGAAAGTATAAAAATGCAAGACAAATAGTGTTGCTAACAGCACTGTACGCTGTCATCTGTAAGCATATCTCTAAGGTCCTCCATAATGGTCATTTTTTCTATCGGGAATATTTCTGGACCACCAAATTATTTTTTAATAGTAGTATCATATATATCACATTTTTGAAACGACCTTCTGATATTGTTTGTGACCTAAATTATATGTTCTCTTAACCATGTTCCATTTTTACGCTCATGACGATAATTAGAAATTTGTTTTCATCTTTAGTTCAAAATTGATTTTTTTTATTTCATTTATTTGATAAATTATGCTTAAGAATAAGACGAAGTTCAATTTAACCATTAAGATGTATTACTCACTAAAGAGTCTAAATAAAAAGTAACTTTGATCTGGGTCTTCTGGGTCTATGACTCCCAACTTCGCCTAATTTTTCGGTCCCTTCATCCATGAAGTACGTGCGAAGATTATCCCTTTGTTTCTGGTAAATAAATATAACTTTGGGCTAATAACTTCATCTTTTGTAAGTCCCGCGTACGTCTCTTTAACGGGAATGTATAATAAGGCAAATAATTGTGTTGCAGCTGTGCACGAGCGGTCGCCGTCTGCCCGGGGGCCTTCTACGTCAGCCGCCTCCTAAGCACCATGTGGCTCGCGGCGCTGCTCTTCTGCGTGATACTCGGACTGCTCCTCGTGCTGGACACGCGAAAGCCTCGCAATTTCCCTCCAGGTACAGAACCTCGCATTCCATACTTTTCAAATCGGCGAACTCGGCTCACACTTCGGTTTCCCTTTTGTCACCCGTTCGCAAAGCACTTCTGCGAAAAAAGCGCACCTACAGACACATTTATTTGAACTCCCACTCGGTTGGCTAATAGCTCATTCTTGCGTTCATTTACTTCGCATTGCCTCTAGAAAAACCTTCTCAAGACGGTGAAAGCGTGTTACGTAAGTAGAAATGCCTCGCCCCTCTTTCTCTCGAGGGAGCAGCACGTGTAGGCGACGTGCACGGCAACCCGCAGCACCCGAGCGTCTGTGGGATTGCATATCCTCCACACAGAGTGATCACGATGCATAGCCTATTGCGGGATTTTGTTACGTAAAAGAAAAAAGCTTCGTCACGGATGCATCATCTCCTTGAAAGACGATTCTAACAAAAAGAGAACCAAACCTCAGAAGAAAGTTAATTAACATTTTCTGGGAATACGTGTAGAATTTGAAAGGCTACAAAACAAAGACAACGTAAAAGTGCTCCGACCTACAATCGACAAATTGATGTTATAACGTACAATCAACGTCAAGAAGGCAGAATTGATTACAGAAAATAATTTTATGGAGAATGATCACATAAAAAGTATTTGGAACATTAAGTCAGAGATAATAAAATTGTTCAATTATTAAGTTATTTCGATATATATCCTATTTCGTTATACGGAATGCTTTAATAACTATGAAAGGGTTTATTTGTATTGAAAATAACAAATGCGAAACGCATATTCGGTACTGGTAGAATAAAGGACATTGCATATTTTCTATATTATTATTAAACAAACTGCAGGCAACATGCCCTTGATTTGAATTATTTGAGCATCAGAAACTAAAACAATGTTGTTTTTAACAATAATATTTTGTGAATTAGTTACCATTTGTACTGTATAATTCAAAAATACTAAATATGCCTCTAATTAGTATTGTATCTTAGCTACTGTATCAATGACCCCAATGTCGATCAGGATTTTTGTCCAGATTCCTTTGATCCATTAAGAAAATGCTGAAATAGCTTTTTGGTTTGCTTCTGGGCATAAATGTAGATTTACTATTTGAGCTCGAGCTTAGAGAAGATTATAGTTATTCAAGCCGTTTTACATGTTTCCACTCAATAATCCGATTCCTTAATGTACAACACGATCAGGAATAATGGCAAAAAAATTTTCTCATTTGCCTTTGAAAATAGTTTTTATAACGCTGAAGTGAACATTTTATCAATTTTTGCAACAAATGTTTGTTATTACGTTTATTCATAATTCAACTTAATGTAATATAAGGGATAGCGTAGGAATTCCAGAGCCGAAGAAAACTTGCACAGTCTCTATATTATGTCACATACAATTTTAACAGTATTTTGATGTTAAATATGTAAATCAATATAAACCACATTATAACGGCCTCATATCATTTGACCTCCCCATATTATTTCTCTTCATTCACACTTTAAAAAGTTTGGTGAATAAGAGTAATTTGCTCTCCTCTTTCCGACTTTTTTAGTCATGTACGAGTAACATGAGATCATTTTAACGCATTAGAGTGTTCAAAAATAGTATATACTGAATAGCATTCAAGCTAATCCACCGAATGCCAAAACATACTGGACATAAGAAGAATAACCCATCATTATTTGCCACACATTAGAGGGTTGCCTCTTCACAGTTTTTATTTATTGTAGGTCCAAAGTGGTTGCCAGTGCTGGGATCGGCATTGGCCGTGGCCAAGCTTCGCAAACAGACAGGCTATTTGTACGAGGCCACTGCGGAACTGGGACGCCGCTATGGGCCAGTTGTGGGGCTGCGCGTCGGCAAAGACCGCCAGGTGGTGCTGTGTGGTTACGACGCCATGAAGGAGATGCTCATGAAGGATGAAATGGACGGGCGCCCACAGGGCCCGTTCTATGAAACTCGCACGTGGGGCGTCCGCAGAGGCGTGCTGCTTACCGACGAAGAATTCTGGCAGGTAAGTTGCATTCATAAGGGACTTCACGGAGCACGTAAAGCGACTATCTATCGTCTGGGGAGCCCAGTTTAAGCTTTCCACGTGTTCCTATTAAGAGAGTGTGTGTGGATGGGAAAAGGGACGGTCTTCTTAATCCAGTGAAAAACTCAGATAAATGCGTGCCATTTGACGTCGTTAGTGTCATGTTGATCTTACATTATTTTTACTTTCTCCCTACCGAGTAGATAGAAAGATATGTAATGGTGGCCAAAAAAGGCGAATTTTCCGAACAAAAATCTTATTTCCGGGCACTAGTGACGAAAAAGTTGATAAATCCAGTTGCTAAATTTAGGAGAAAATCCTCTAACATGTGGTGTAGCCAGAATAGATGTTTTATGGGTCCTTGATACTGAAAAATCAAATGACGGCGAAACGTCTGTCCGCCTGTGAACAATGCTAACGGCTAAATCGTTCTGCAGATTTTCTCCAAAATTGATATTCCCCAATTAATCTAGCTGATGTCACAGCCCCTTGAATTTGAAACCAATATTTAAATTTTGGAGGGTACTTTACATCAAGCCCCAATGACATTTTCCAAATTGAAAAAAAATAGCTCCATAGTTTTTGATTAAATGTTGTTGTTGAATAGTGTGAAGGACGTTTACGGGAATGGTTTAGGTTTCATGTTCGTTAAATACCCTTATTTTTTTGAAATTTCAACAGTTCAAAGGTTTTTCGGAGTCCTCCTACAATTAAAATATTAAGGAGAGAGATTTTCCCCTTAGACAAATCTGTTCCTTCAAGATAGATTATGAAATCAGATCACGTACATTTTTCGAAAAATTTTCGCATAATTTTGCGTGAAAGTACGGGCGAAAGTGCGCGAGCTGTTTTGGCACCACTATTTCTTTTAATTACATGACTTACGTTATCACAAAAATTACACGCATTCAATTATTGATATGTTCACGGTTGGAACAACAACTTCAATGCTGCTACAATGAGACATAGCTATTAAACATACTTATTCTTGCCATTTAAAAGACATGTATCTTTTGTCATGGAAAAATATTTATACGCTATAATGTGTTGAAAGTTGTATTTACTCGATATTGTTTTCGAATGGACTCGAATATATTTTTAAACTGTATATTAATTACAGTATAATGCAACTATGGAGCCATCCCTCCGGAAACTTTTTGAACGGGCATCCTATACTATTGTAGGAAGAAGTTATCCTTCTATTACTTCGATTTTTAATATTAGGGTGATCATTAAAGACGCCGGCTATTACATGGATTCGATTTTCTATGCAAATTTCAAGTATTATAAGTGATAAATTAATGTAAACATAAAAACGCACTTTAGAATTACATGGTCCAAAGAAATGAATGTCTAAGAGAGAAAAATTCAAAAATTGAAATATCAACGTGAAAATATTTGCGTTTATGTAAAATGGGTGTCTGTTCATTTCCGCACTCTATGGAACCAGAAAATACCCTCTGGAACCCTCAATTCGCAGTAATGAGTGTCATAAATTTAATTAATAAAAAAACTGGCATATTTTACATAATGGTACCTTCCAAGAGTTAATAAATATCTCTCTCTATCTATCTATTTCTATCTCTATCTCTCTCACCCGTCTCTCTCCTCTCTATCTCTCATTTTCTCTCTCTCTCTCTCTCTCTCTCTCTCTCTCACTCACTCTCTCTCTGTGTGTGTCCGTCTGTGATCAGCGCCAGTGCCAAAACCTGAGGTAAATACGTAAGGTTTTAACGCTAGCGCTGATCACAGACGGCTAAATAGCCAACGCCCACCCTTGGCTAACGTGCCAGTACAGACGTGCAATTTCTCTCAGCATGTGGGGATTCGCAAGTTCAGAATGGTCAAACGCGTAGGTGGCGAATCACTGTTCCTCAATTAGCGTTACCCAGGGGACACGTGTGATACAACACCGACGCGAACAACTTTGTACCCGCTGTGCGAACTATTGTTATTATTAATGCGTTATGAGGTGATCGGATGATGAGAGATGATCGTGGCATTTTTAACCATTCCAGCATTCGCATTATAACTGTGGGAAATCACGAAAACCCCGGTCAGGATGGCCGGCCCGAGGGTCAAACCCAGACCTCCCGACTACGAAGTCAGCGCGCTACGCACGGAGCCACTTCGCTCGGTTAGCGCCAAAACACAGTTCACTATATACATATATGCCATTTTTTGAATAATTAAACATTTTGCATGGCGCAAGCATCCTGCGCTCAAACACCACACGGCGCTCATGGCTTAAAAAGTTTAAGTGTCGCGAGTACGATTGTACGTCACTATTTATCTTGCACTCTTATAGTGTATTATTGATTGATGTTCATACTTGATATGGGCATTAGTTGCGTTGTGTACTAATGGTTTTTATCCTTGGAGCGGAATCAACCTACCCCTCGGCTCGTGGGGGTATTCCTCCTCTCTCATTGTATCTTATCCAATGAAAACACGCGCCCCAAATTGAAGTTCAAGCTCTGCTAGCCGCCAACTTGGTCTTCCTCGACATGTGTTGTAGTACAATCGAGCAATGTAGTTAAGTAGTTGTGTGTAGGTAGATGAAAATAGGGACAAGTAAAGGAAGGATAAGATAGTCCCTCCTTAGGGCTGTCTCGTGGGCCCGACTTGTTAAGTACTGCTCTGACATTCGCTGGAATTGATCAGAGACAGTCACCAAAAACTACCATCAGAGCAGCCGGCTACTAGAAATTGCTTCCACCGACTATTTGGCAACAGTGTTAGACATGACCTGTTATCTACCTCAATCTATCGACAAATCGCTTACCGATCCATAACTCCGATCCTACCAACCTACGGTCAGAGATACATAATATTGACATCAGTTGATGCCTTGAAACACCTCAAACGATCCAGAAGTTCTTGGGCCACTGCGCAATGTTCTGACAACACTTTGAGTGGTATGAATAAAATAAGCAAGTACTCTTTTGCTCCGAGTTTCCGAGATCTTAATCAGTTCTATGAATAAGTGGTAAGCAATTCTCAGTCTCTGACTACTGCTCAGCTCTCAGCGCTTACTCTCAACTGGCGAGCAATATGGCTCAGAATTGAGTATGAATAAAGTTAAGCGTTATACTCTTTAGGTTGAGCACTGCTCCAAAATTTCGGAGGGACCTTAAGTAACCGCAGACTCACGTTTGAAAAGTAAGGTTAAATTGCGCGATTTTTACTGTGTGTTGATATACATATACAGCTGACTAAAAAGATGCAAATTAGGGAAATTCTTGATGTAGACTATTAGAATCTTGCCGAATCGAAAAGTACCAGTGTATGTTGTACGATTTTTATCGGCGGTTTCTTTCAGCGCGTTTTCAATGCATATCTTCTATGATAATTGTCATCGCTCTTTTCTACTTGGAATTTTTTCGGTACTGTTTTTGAAAAACTTGTCTAATGTTTTCGTTCCGTTCACACGTACTCCGAAAGCTGTTCTTTTCAAATTATAATTTTTATATTCAACTTAGGCTATTTCGGAAACAAAATAGAGCTGGGTCCCCACTAGCGCCAGTGTTTTTTTTTGCCGTTATACGTTCTATTCATATTTTCATAATTAAAGAATGACGACAACAAACATTTGCATCTTAATTCCGCACAAATGTCGCGCCACATGAGCTTAACGTATATGTAGACCTACTGAGTTGATCAACCCAATTTGAAATAAACGCCTGCACTTCACATTGTTCACGAAGCAATGCCGCGAACATGATAAG